CAAAGCAGTGCGCGCCAGTGCCGGGTCTATGAATACCTGGCCCCCGATGCTCGGTCATTTATTTCGGAGGCGGTGTACTACCCCCGAAATGGTCGAATGAATGCGGCAACCAACCACCCCCGCCTCCTCGCTCCCTTGTCTCGACGCGGAGTTAAAATCGTTTTGAAAATCGAGGTCGAGGGCCAGTCCGACCAGCAATCTCCTCAGACCTTCCACACACACACACACACACACACACTCTCTCTCTCTCCACCTTCTTGGAGCTTCGAGCTCCTTCTCCAAGGCTCATTCTTGCTCATTCGACTCTGCTCGCGGTGAATCCCTCTCGAGGTTTCTAGCTTCGTAGCGGTGAAAAGGGCTGGGTCGTCGACGACAACAACAACGTCGATCTGCTTTTTTTTCGCTCTAACGTTCCTCCCGCTGGCTGTCTGTCTTCCTCCGGAGATGACTGATGCACGCTGTCCGGAGTTCTGCCGATGCATGAACGATCTAGTCGCTATGGTTTGAAGCTTCTTCGTGGAATCATGTGAATCTTCGTATGCGATATGAGAAGAACTCTTGGAGCTTTCTTTCGTGTTTAATCTCCTCCGATCGTGCAACGAAACGACGAATGATCTGTTTGGAAAGTTGTTGTTCCTTTGTTCGCGAAATATCTCGCATTTCTGGAAGCAGTTACGAAAAGTACGTACTACCGACCTCTTATAGACGATGAATATTAATAATTACATCAGGTATGACCGCATTTAAAATCTATGCTAATATATTTGGCCGCGAAATGATCGTGGAATTTTTGCGAGGTAATAAAACGAAAATTCTTGGAGATACCACATACTCCGTCGTGTTTCGGTGGTACGTAAAGGGTAATGTCTCTTGCGATTTCTACAAGTCGAGAAGAGAAGATAATAAAGAGGTCTAGAATCGGCGGATAGTTTTGGATATCAGCTGCGAGGATTTCGTATGGCGCGGGGAGAAACATTAAAACTATCTTTCGCGGCACGATGCGTCTTCGTAACGGCGTAATAAAACTTCCTTTTGCCAACGACGGGCAAACTTTATTCTAGAAACTTGGTTTGACGAGAACAGTGTTCTTCCTCTTCTTCCTCTTTTCCCATTTCACGTTCGTTTTTCTTTCGCCGTGAAACGATTATTTACGCAACGAACGAGAGGAGAAACGTGGAACGGGGCAATTGATAGGAAAGCGAGAATTAGCAAAATACGAAATAAAATATTGCAGCAGAACGTGAATTTTTGTTCTCGGTACAAACACATCGAAATCCCCGATGAATCGATTTTATCGATGTCTATTTCGTCGATAGGATCGGGAATAGAAAACGCAAATTTACTAATGTCGTTGAAATAATCGAGACGACAACACGCTACTAGAATATGCGCATGGAAGAATGATAACGATTAAAAGATCGTTTAATTTTATTACCGCGGCGCATAGAACGTAAAATGATTTTAAATAGAGACAGATCGTTCGACGATAGATTATCCCTATTTCTTGAGGCAAGAATCGTGATTTACTCCGCCTTTCCATCACTTTTCGCCGGGGCTGCACGCATCTATAGAAGTCCCCATTGAATTCGATTCACTTCAGTGGTTCGTGCATTGCGGATACGCGGTAGGGCGGGTCGATCGCACCGTAAAATATTTAACGAGGCAGTTTCGCGAAGCGTCTTTGTAAACGTTATGAATATCGCAATAAAATATATATACACGCGCGCGAAGAGCTTGCCAGCGTATATAAATGCCCGAAGATAGCGTCTTCTTCGGGGAACTCCTTCCTTCCTTCGCTCGTTAACTCGTTCATTTCCCTTCATCCTCTCTTAACCAACTGTTCCTTCCCCCTCCTTCATCCCTTCTGTTTCGTTTTCGAATTCTTGCAACGATTCTTGGTTATTCAGCAACCCCGTAAAAGTGCAATTTGGCCGCGTTCAGCCTTTCTGTTGCTCGTACTTTCTTATTCCAGCCTTCCGAAATTACATCGTCTCGTTCACTGACTGACGAACGGTTCATTGTTTCAGATGAATCGCGTGGATCATTGGCGCCCGAAGGGAGATTCCTCGCCTTCTTCGGCTCGGTGAGTGACTACTACTTCAACGTAAAGCTTGCGATTCGAATTTACCATTTGTTGGCTCCGTTACGATGGTTTATTACGTAGGAGTGGAAGAATGGCAGGTTCGGTCGATTTTCTGCCCCCCCGTAGAAGATGTTTGTCATCGAGGACTTTATTTCTCGCGAACGTTCGTAACGCGTCGCTTTACGCTCGATTCTTCTCCACTCGCTTGTTCTTGTCTCGGAATAACGCTCGCAGGGACGGCCGGAAATTCACACAGAGGGGATGGCAGAGAGGGGGAGGATTGAAAAGGTGGTACGGCAGAGGTGCTCTGCAGAGGCGTGCACCCGGTAAGATTTAATGTGATCTCTCGCGTGTCCTCTCTCTCGTTCTCTTTTCTTTTCATTCGCCATCCTCTCTGCCCTCTCACGCTCCCTCGATCAGCCTTTTTCCTCGTGCATCCACCGCCGCGTCGCAGCTCCCCCACTTTCCGGCTCGTCCTCCAGGCATTTTCAACCCCCGAAAAC